CTTTTGTTTTCTGTTGTTCCTGGCTTTGCTTTAGAGATGTGTTTGCTTATGCTGGTCAGTTTTTCCTCGCTCATACTCACAGATGTCTCTGCCGGGATGCTCAGGTTTCCTGAAGAACATTACAGATGCTGTAGCAAGGCCATTCCTCCATGCAGTAACAGTTTCTCTGCATCTTGGCTTCCAAGGAAACACCAGCCTGGAGTCGTCCTTAGGCTGCTTCGGGACCAGCTTTTCTGTACAGCTCAACTATTGCACCAGAGGTAAGTTGATGCTCAAATCCCTGATCCTCTTTCTGTTGTGCCAGAATGTGGAGTGGTTCAGAGGAACAGAAAAAGCTTCAGTGGAACCTGCCTGAAAGTCAACAGTGTGAAAGTGGAGGGCAACATAGCCCAGCAGCATTTTTTTGCAACCTGCTTACAAGCAAGCACCTTTAGCCTTCTGGGGAGTGGTACAGAAGAAGTATGGCACCCATTTCTGCCTCAGCAGCATCCCTTAAACTTACTCTGTGTTCATGAGTGAGTATGGTCGTCCTTGCTTGAATAAGACCCCAAACACAAGCAAGTGCTGCAGTAAAGAATCTTCTGTGTGGCACAAGCCAGTGTGCATTGAGCAGTAGATGTATTAGGGCCTGAGCCAGAACCAGAGGCTGCAGGAGACTGATTTTGGCATGAAACCATCCCCTGAGGTCTTCTGGCAACTGCCCAGCAGTGGTGGTTGCCATCACAGAGAAAGTGGGCAGGAAGAGGGCTGGCTATCTCACAGCACAGTCTACAGCAAGATCTCATAGCCTAAGGGCTGTTATTTGCCTCTGTGAAAAGATTTAAGAGGAGGAGGCTTGTGGGAAATGTGAAGTGGTGACAGGGAAACAGAGGGGATGTTGTTTTAGGGACCTGCCTGGTGCTGACAAGGGTGGTTGTTTTGAGGCTGTGGATCTTGGACCTCTGGGAAGCTGTGAGCTGCTTCTAGAAGGTGGCATTGATGGGTGGAAGACCAGGGTCTGGAGGACAGGTTGTTGGGGAGCAACTTGTTTGCCCAGAGCAGAAATAGTGCTCTTACCTTTTGTGGGAAGAACAAGTTTGCAGAGCAGTGGCTGAATGCCCACAGGGCTCCAATCACTCTTGCTGCTGCTGCGTGTTCTCCCGGGGCTGTGCATGCAGCATTTCTTGTGGTGCTTGGTCTGATTTGTGAGGTTTCTAAGGGGGCTTGGAGAGGAGAAAGGAGAAAAAAAAAAAAAAAGCAAAAACACCTGAATACATTGATGTGACTTGCTCACAGTTAGAACTAATGACAGCGCTATTAGCCATGGTAGAACCAAGCACAGACCTACGCGGGTTTGTGTTTTGCCTTCCAATTTCTGTTTTAACTCTTCTTGTCGGTCATGTTCTTAAACTGGCACTCGTCCAGCAACTGTAGTTTACTCATCGATTATGGTTTCTTCATGCTAGATACACCCGAGAAACTTTCCATCGTGTTCCTTTGCCCCAGCTAGGTTTAAACAGCTCTGTGAGTTCTGTTGGCTTCACCTGTTACTCATCAATTAACAGTCAGTCCTGTCTGGAATGACCACCTTGTCTGATGGTCTCATGCTCTGCCTTCCTTGCAGACCAGTTCTGCTGAGGTCTTGATCCCTCCTTGCTGTAAGAGGTTCCTCCGGGGCTAACCGGAAGAAAGGGCTTTGGCCAAGGGTGTTTATAAAAGATCCGGTCCCAAAGCAGATTAAGAGCGGTTTAAGCATGCCAGGGAAGGTTGTCCTCCCTGAATGCAGAAATCCACCACTGTGGGCAGGGGGTGGGGAGTCCCACCTGCCTGGCCACGTGCCCCACCACCCTCACTGGTGGCACCCGAGAGGCCGCAGCTTGTCTTTCTGCCTTACCTTTGATTCTGTTATGTAAGAGGCCTTTCTCTATTAAAAAAGAAAACACACACGCGCGCACCTTGTGCCATTCCTGCTCAGTGGATAAACGCTTGGGACGGGGATGTTTACCTGCACTGACAACCCCACCCCCAGCTGCCACTGCTATTCCTGGCAGCAAAGCTCCGTGCTGCAGGGCTTGCTTAGTGGCATTAGCCCTTTCGAGGTGTCGCCTTCTTGCGCTTTGGTAGCAGCTTGGAAGAGCCGTTATGTGCCACTGCCCCAGCTTTACTGCCCACTGAAGGTGCTCAAGAGGGAGGTGATCACAGCCAGTGCTCCCACTGGTTCAGCAGTGCCCTGAGGAGGTACTGTGGGAGATGCAGCATTTAATCCCATGCTGGCTGCAGCAGGACATGACCTAATGATAGCTATGAGCTACAGCATCTCTTAAACCTATTCCCGGCTTGCCTGGCGTGCCTGCTCCCATGACTATTACAAACTCCCTGGTTTGTGTGTCCCAGGAGCAAGGCAAGCCCAGACTAGGTATGGCAGCTGCCCTTGGTCCTTCCAAGAGCTGTGCCATTCAGGACTGTGCTATCCTGCTATTCCCGACCCTGGGAATGGCGTAAAGGAAACACTGACACCAGACCAGAGCATACCAGAGATGATAACAAAGAGTCTCTAATTGTGTTCTGTATTGTGACAATGCAGAAAGAAAAGGAGAGTCCTTCGCAGCCTCTTCAAAATATATTTTTCAGGGCTGGTTTGGAGGTAGGGGGAAGAAGATTCTGGTGGTTGGGCTGCACTGAGCCTGCGTTGTACCAGCATGGTGCAGGACACAAGTAGACATATCTCTGTGTAGGTATGTGGACGTATGTACATGAGGGCCAGCTATTCTTAGTCTTTCACCCTTTTATCTCTTACATTTGCTTTTGTCTTTTTTTCAATCCACATTCCATCTACACTCCCACGCTGAGTTACACACAAACCAGGCCAGTAATTTACATCCCCATTTCTCTTTCCTGGCTAAAAACTGTCCCTCTCCACTGTCTGGTCGGCACTGCAGCCAGCTCGTGCCAGCACCTCCCCATCCGCCTCAGGACACCTGCCTCCCTCCCCACTCTGCTCATCCTCCACATGGTTGGCCTCCTCACTGGCTGCCACCATGGCCTTGTCAGTGCCATGGGCTGGCTGGTGGTTATCGCTGCTATGCTCCTCGGCTTCCTGCACATCAGACTCGGCTTCTTCAGTGTCACTCCCACCACCTGCAGAAGGGTTTTTCTCTGGGGGAGGTGTCTTCTTCCCTCGGTTCAGGCAGCAGTAGGTGGCCATGGCCAGGAAGAGAGCGGAGAGCACCACCTCTGAGCCCGCCAAGTAGAAGATCACCTCGTAGTTCTTGAGAGCGTCAACCAAGCGGCCTGGAGAAGAAACAAGGAGGTTAGCCTCAGTCTAAGCATTCCTGGATGGACAGACCAGCACTGCTGGGCAACAGCTGGGGACCCATTTCTGAAAGGAAGAG